TTTTAAGGAAAGTATCCCCATTGAATGGCTTGTGTGAAGTAACGGGTCCGTTTGTATATAAAATGAGCCCTTAGCCTCCAGTTCCATAAACCTCTACCGTCGATGGCGACTGGCATTAGCTGTTAGCACCGTTATGTGTCGATGTTCGTATTACCCATCTGGCAGCAGGACCACGGTTTCAATCTTTGCAATTCTCGTTCTCACGGGTCTCTTCCTCAGCTTTGTATTTTCCAGTCACTCTCCTGGAGGTACGGACGTTTCGCTAGTCTCATTGGGGGCTGAGGATGCCCGGATCCAGCTTGGTGCTGCTGCTCCGGCCCCAGCAGCTGGCCGTGATGCTCATGCTGCGCTGCGCGGCTCCCTGGCCGTAGCCACTCGCGTGCTCCAGCCGCTCGCCGTCCGATTGGCTCTGTGTGCGCTCCGGTCTGTTGTGAGTGCTGCCCGTCGCGGAGCTGGGGGCCGGTTGGGAGGAGATGGTGCGCAGCAGGTGGTTCCTCTTCCTTAGGAAGTCACTGTTGGCACCCACGCCGAAGCTGCCTTTACGCAGGACCATGCGTGCACTGCTGGACTTGGCGGGTCGGGAGCGGTGGCTGTAGTGGGGGGGGGGGGGTGGGTGAGGAGGGGACACAGAGGCGAACAAGCCTCGCCGCGTTGATACTGCAGAGGTCGCTGCGTCGTGAACGGCGGTTACCTTTCCACTTCGTCCCTTGCCACGATGTCTCCCTTCTTCAGGGCTTTGATGGCGTACAGGCTGCCTCTCCTCTTGTACTCTGACAGCAACACCTGCAGGGATCACATTTCAGACGAGAACCAACGGTCAAAGATCCGCGTTCAGTGACTGGAAGGCTGCTAAAATCTTTGCCTGATAATATATAAATAAACTCATATATATAATGTATAGAATATTGGTTGATAGCCCTAATGAAAACATTAAAGTTACACGATCGATACAGAGTTAAACAAAGGCAAAAAACCTTTGTTGAGGAGAACTGTCGGCTGATAAGAGCAGTTTATCTGTTTTTCACACATCACATACCAAGCTGATCCATCGTTAATATAACACCTTTTTTAATAATTCTGCTAGAAAAATTCAAGAGGGTAAAAACAAAAAAATGATGATTCCATAAAAGAGTCAAAGTAATTTGTGAACAGACACAAATGGCATTGAAACTAGCAGTATTAGTTGTGTTCAACCTTATGTAGAAGTGTACGGTTTGAATACCTTCCCAAAGTGGCCCCGGCCGAGCACAGCTATCAGTTTGAAGTCCTGCAGGCACAGGGGGCCTCTGCTTGGTCTGCGGGAGAGATGACAGACGGATTATAGAGGATGCCGTGGTAGATGAAGCCCCTTCAAATCAGGTGATTCATCTACGTTGTGATCTGCCGTGTTCTGCATGGGACACTAATCACAGCAAGTATTTCATATGCCATAAAGAGAGGTAACAACACAGGGCCATATTGTGTGTGGGTGTGTTTCTTTAGTCAAGCTGTGTTGGCCATAATGCAAAAAGATATGCTGAGTAGTGGTTTCTGTGTGTGCCTGTGTGTGTGTGTGTGTGTGTCAGAGAGATGGGTTCCCTTTGTGTTTGCACCTGCTGGAGGAGTTCATGGACAGCGATCTGGTCGGCTGCTGCTGCTGCTCGTGCACAGGGACATCCGGCGTGGACGGGGCCTCAATGACAGGCGTCTGTTCCTGTGGGGGGAAGAGGGACAAAACGAGGAGTAAATGTCCGCTGACTTCGATCACAGTGGACAGACAGATCCCCTGCTGACTGACGGCCTCATTCATCCACTCGGCCTCTTGCTCGCATTAGTTCTCTAAAAAAAAAACATTTGAGTAATTAATCCCATAATACTTCAACGCCCGATGAACACACCATCTGCCACAGGCCCTCCACTCCTCTGACTCGCTCCGTGCTCGTCTAATTGGGTGCTCTGATTTCTAAAAGTCGGCTTTATTGCGTGACCGCAACCAAGCAGTGCATCGCCACAGCATGATGCAATGTCATCAATGACTGTGTAATAAGTAAAAGTGGAAGTAAAATATAATCAAATACATACACATTTATAATCTCCCGTGACTTTAAATTATCAAAATATGAATCCAATCATTCATTTGTGAAGGTTACTTGTGGGGTTCTTCAGGGCTCAGTGTTCGGCCCATTATTGTTTATTTGGTACATACATTTTTTTTGTGGTTAAAATTTGGAACAACCTTCAGATAATGTAAAATATGTTTGTATTTAGGCGGGCATCCTCTATGGTGATGGTTTTTGATGAATAGGTGTGTTATTGCGTTTGTAGGAATTTTTTTTTTTTTTATTTCGACAAAAATTGCATTTGAAATTAACAGTCACGACTAATGTATAAAATTAACAATAACTGCACATGTAAAAGAAATATAAATTAAAATATGATCATAATGGCATTGTGACAGCAGCATGGTGCAGTTCACTATGAAATGTAGGCTGACGCTACTTTTAACATCAAATAGTTTGTGTTTAGCATGTCGTTTAGAGACAATAAGCTCCGACTCACAGCGCTGCACGTTTTACGTCTTTCACTGTGCTGTTGAAGTTGTATGTTTTTCTCTCTCTCGCTCACCCTCGGCTGTTTGTGTTCCTCTCACTGGGAAACTAACACGGATTTGGCCTTGATCGAATTAAATCTCCCCACCATCCACTTACGTCTCATTAAAGCTGCCCCCCCCCCCCCCGAGTTTTCACTCGAATCATTCATCCTCCCTCTGCAATGCTGGTCTTAGATTTCACTGCAGCACAGGGTGCAGCCGCCCATGACTGGAGCACTGTTCCCAAGCCAAAGGCTGCAGGTATGAAGGGAGCAGCACAGTAACATGATAGTGTTGAGATGCCCATCTCTTCCTCGCCGGCCTCCCTCCCTCTCACTCACCAAGGGAGCGGCCGCGTCCACCTCATCTCTCCGGATTTCAGCTTTGGGAGGTGAGTCGCTGCCCAGATTCAGCTTCTCCACTGACATTTCTCTGCACACACACACACACACACACACACACACACACACACACACACACACACACACACACACACACACACACACACACACACACACACACACACACAGAGCAAAACAAATCAGATTTTCTTTTTTCAGAAGCCCAAATGACTGTTCAACCTCTACTGGATGAAAGGCAATTTGATTTGATTATAATATACTTTTACCCCAAAACAAGTTTAAATAGTTTGCTCTTTCATTATGTTCCTCGATTTAATGCCAAAAATGAATGAATGCAAACATGAGTGTTTTCACTGAATGATGCAATAACTAATAGCAATAAGTTGTGCTTGAATAACAAAAAATGAATCAAAGAATGATGATTATTACATCCTCATGGTTGATATCATGTAACATTTAGAAGCTGAATATCTTTTAAATTGCACTGAATGCCTAATTTACCACCAGACGGTTGTGTTTTCAAATAAAAAATAGATAAAAAGCAAAAAGAACCCTCTGTTTTGCGGATTAGCCGGCGTGCTGGTGACCCACCCTGCGCTCGGCATGTTGCCGGTGAAACTGGCTGTGTAGGCGGGCACGTTGCTTCCAGTGGGGATGGCGTTCCTCAGCAGGCGGACCCAAGTGGCGATGTCCACGTTCATCTGGCGAGCGCGCACGAAGGCTTTACCTGAAACACACGGAGCGCAGCACAACTCAAGGAATGAACGGCGAACCCCCAAAACGTGTCTCATGTGTGTATCTCCTAGGAAGAGGAAAATGGAGATAATCCATTCACGGCAACTTCAGCATCTGATGGGAGGACGGTCTCTGGATTTTCGTCTCTTAACCATCTCTTAACCCATTTGGTCTGTAACGCCGTTAAACGAGACAAACGGCTTGTTTGTTTGGTGGTTGTTTTCCCAACAGGTTAGAAATAAAATTAAGGCCACTATATCCACATCGCTGCTTATTTTATGGTAAAAATGATTTGCCCTGACCAAAATATTTGTTTAATGATGTCACGGGGGCCTTGACCTTTCACCTCCCAAATCTAATCCAGTCTGTATGGACCTTTGTGCCTAGATTTGAAAATGATTCCTCATGCGTTCCTGAGATCACACTCACTATTCCCCATAATGGACAACGTGCACACATGAGGTCTCTGAGCGCTACGCTCGTCTACCACCTCCCGCTCACTGAAAAGCAAACACATGGGTTCCAGGACGAAGGCCTGCCAGGTAAGGCAGAGATAAACGGCCCTCTATGCGGGCACTTGAACTCACCGTGCTGTTTGGAGAAGACTTTCTTCTGCCTCTGGAGCTTTCTGCCTCTCTCTATCACGGGGTTGAAGAAAATCACCTAAAAGCAAAAAACAACGTCTTAAAAGCGGCAAACGTGCAGCTACGGCGAGCGCATGTCTGAGGCAGACAGTGAGGAACTGTGAAGGCTAATCTATATTACGCTCTACTGGCACACGTCTGTGTGTGTGTGTGTGTGTCCTGCACCTCAGCCAGCAGCAGCCCCTGCGGCTCCAGTTCCAGCTGGACTTGGTGTCTTTGGTTGTCCAGGAACTCCTCCAGCTTGAGGTACTTGAGTGCGCACAGGGAGCGGAAATCTCTCCAGTACACGGCTATCTCCATCTCCCTGGACTGACGGCACAACGAATAACAGATGAGAACGCCGCCCAGGGATGTGACCCGACCGCTTGATCGCTGGTCCAGCTCCAAGTTTAGGTTGAATCACGCCGCCGTGATCTCCGTCACTTACTCTCTCGAGCTCCACGATGAAGGTCTGGTCCCAGGTCTGCTCTCCAACCGTCTTCCACACCGTCTGACCGACCACGGTGTTCTCCAGCTTCAGCACCGCGCTGACCTCCGCTGCAAAACGCACGCACACAGGGTCTGTTCAACCACACGCATGTAGCACGCGAGTCCACTTCCTACCAGGTATCGTGTATGAAGGGATATTTGTGTCTTTATTACCCAATTCTTTTTTTTCTTAAGATTTCTCGCACTGCAAACATTTTTTACAAAAGTTTGTAAGTGAAAACTGTATAAAGTGGGAATACATCTTTTTTTACTTATGAAAGTAGCATTTTTGGCAGCAAATAAAAAGAATCCCCGTTGCTCTTAAAAACAAAAACCTTTGTTCTAAAAAAACCCCAAAAACTACAAGTTGGAGTTGGACTTTGGATGAAGGGGTCTGGTTTTTTTTGTAAAATGTAGCAGCACTTCACTTTGTCTTCATGTTGTTAGTGTCACATGTGACGTCAGCCCGCATTGGGCGACGTCACATGCCTGCAGAAAGTGAGGCTTCATGTCAACACAGCAGAGCTTCCAAACTCAACTAGGTTTTTGTTTTGACAGCAACAGGTTTTAATATGCAGCCAAAGATCCGAGTTACAAAAGTGAAAACTAAAAAAATAGTTTATTCTCAATTTATATATTTTTACTTACAAACTTTATTTTTGATTGCAGTGCAGTTGCATTCTTGGGGCGGTAACAAAGACACAAATATACCTTCATAATCGTGCACTGCGAACATCTAAAAGGCGGCTGTTTGAAACAAGAGAAAAAGGGACTCACAGGAGAGCTCCTCGTTTTTGCCGGGGATCTTCAGGCTCATGCTGCTGGTGCTGCGGCTGTAGAGGCCACTCAGTTTGAAGGAGGAGCGTCCGTCTCCCACGGAGTAAGAGGGCAGAACCAGCGGAGTCCCTCTGCTCCGCCCTGGGACGACCTCCAGCAGCCCCACGCAGCCCAGAAGATGCACCTGAAGAGTACCTGACAGGGGGGGAAAAAATCCTCAATTCATCTTTACAGGAAAGAAAAAGCAAAGATTTAAAGGTTGAAACTGATGGGACAGCGTCTGCGTCTACCTGTGAGAGGCGAGGGTTTGCTCATGGTGCTGTACTGGTTGTGGACGTACGGCGTGCTGTGGCGGGAGCTGAAAGCCGAGGAGGTGGCCAGCACCAGTTCCTCCTTGATGAGGCAAGCCTTGGGATGGTCCTCGGGCAGCTCCTGCAGCCTCTGCTCCAGAGAACACCGGAGCAGGTCCAGGCGCTGGGACGCCCCGCTCAAACCACACTGGGCCTGCGGACATCGTTCAATGGTCTCTGCTGAGGGATTTTTATGTTCTTTTCCTGACACTCAAATTGATGTTAGAACTGGGTCGTTGGAGCGGCAATGCTAATAATTCAAAAGGACACAGATGAGTCGATGGTTTGATGAGACAAAGGATGAGAATGATTTGCTTTTACATTGACTTATTCTGATAAAACGGTGGGGATCTGCGCCTCCTCGCAGAGTCAGATGAGGAGCTATTGTCATGTCTTCAGATACAGGCTACAGCCGGCAGCCGGCTAGCTTAGCTTAGCACAAACACTGGAATCAGAGGGAAAACCGCTGACCAGGACGTGTTGACGGTGGACTACGTATGTCTGAATCCCGTCGGCTCGCTCACCTCCGCCATGGCCTTCTTGTCCTGGACCTTCCCCGCGCCGAGCAGTCGCAGCATGTTCTTGGCGCCCTCGGCCATGGCGTGCTCCACGCGGTAGTGGTGCCACAACTCTTCCATGCGCAGCTCCATCCCACACATGTCCGGCTTACCTGTGGACGCAGGCAACGCGTGAGCAACGTAGGGGCGCACAGCGGGGAGGACTCAGAGAATTCACTTTGAATTTAAATTGTTACGAGACGAGATGTGTTTGCACACAGGGAGAATTTATCGGGTAGAAAACAGGTTGCAGATTTGATCACAGTTATTGAGGTCGACTCATTTCGGCCACATATGAGAGCAGAGACACAACACCACCATGTATGATCAACTTTTAAGTTAATACGGCCGAGTGGTGAGCCAGAAAATCTGAATGATGACTTGAAGCTTTATTGGCAGGATCTGCAGAGCGGGGGGTGACAATCACATGGATTTCTGTCACGGAGACCTTCCAGTCACCTGGAAGCAGGCGGCTCGTCCTGTCCCGGGTCGCCATGCTGCACTTTCCCTCCCTGCCCGCTCTTTCATCCCCGACTCCTTCCGTCTCTCTGTCGTCCTCCCTGACTCGCCCCCTTTCAGTCTCCCTCGCTTCCTGGCTGCCTGCATGTGCCCTGCCTCCTCTCTAACCTCTGCTAAATGAGGCATGGCTTTTAGTTGTCGGGCAACATCAAGGGGATGCAGGAACATCAATACGGCTTCCAACCTGAGAGAGCTGTAATGGAACACGCGCACGCGTGTGTTTGTGCGCGAGTGTCGACTCGAAGACTGTGCACTGTCCCGAACCAGGAATCGATCCATTACCACCAGCATCATAAAAAATGCAGTGTTTAGAAGAGTAACAGGTGGGATGAAAGCGGAATGGCGGGATGGCGATCGGGGGATAAAGAGCGTCCGTAGATAGTTACTTTGGCTGTCCTCAGACTGCTCCGTGGCCTGCATGGCCTTGCGGATCTGCATGCGGATGATGTCGATCTTCGTCTTGCTGTCCTGCAGCATCTGCTGAGCCGTCTGGAGCAGCTTCTTGTCCTGCGGAGAGGACGGAGGGAACAGGAGGAATTCAAACAGCGAGCGAAGGAAGGAGACATGACAGACATGATGTGGCCGGCGAGGGGGCCGGCGAGGGGGCCGGATGAATACCTTGGTACCGCCATTGGCATAGATCGGAATCATGTTCTCTGCTCCCTGTTTGACCTTCAGCTCGATGTTTAGCTGCCGGTCCAAAGCCGCGATGCGTTGCTGGTTGGCCGACACCCGATTGGGGGCCCCCGGGGACTGGTGGTCATCTGGGTACGAGTGGGGGGGGGGGTTGTGTGTTAAGAGGTCACCTGACAGCCAGGTTAAGGTTAAGACAGCCAATGTTTCAGCCCATTAACTACTGGTCTACTGGCAAAGCATTACAATGGGTCTTTAGATACGGTTCCAGTTAGAAACGTAACCCATCATATTGAATGTTTAGGTTTCTTTTGCCGGCAATTGAGTTGCAAAGAGGTAGAGCTTTAAAAAGCAATCCTTGTTTGTGTGTTAACAAGCAAGCGGTTGAAGACTAATGTACAGACAAAGTGGCGTTTGGTTTCTTTTTACATGTATTGTCTACGGTATTATTCAAATATCTGCACAAATTGATCAAAACGTGGCAATTTGATTTGTATTCCATATCGACCGGTACCTGAACATTGTGGAGAGGATAATGCGCCGGCTTTGCTAAGGAAGCTCATCGCTGATTGGTGCACCTCAACAACCTTAACCATCCATGACACATTGCACAGACCTTGATGATCTCCACGGATGAATCACCATAACTTAGGTCCCCCCCCCTCTTCCCACTCCATGGTGGACACCGTACCTTTGCTTTCATCGGGGCCCTTGACCACAATGTGTGCGTCCAGCTCCTGCAGCTGCGTCTGGAGGGACTCCAGCTTGCGGTTGGAGCTGCGAAGCTGCGAGTCCACCTGCTGGGCATTCCGCTTGTCGGTGGTGGCGCGGCGCAGATTCTCCGCGCCCTCCTTGATCTTCAGCTCCTTGCGGATCTCCCTGCGGATCCTCTCGCGGTGCTCGTCCAGGCACTGCTGCACGCTGGAGTCGGAGAAGTCGGAGTTCTGGTCCAGACCGAGCTGCTGGAGCACAGACAGCCCGCCCGGGTCGCTCTGCGGGGGGGAGAAGAGGGGGGAGGGGCATGGCGGTTATGGGAGAAGTCACCAAAGGAGAAGGAGCTCGGAGGGGGGGGGGAGGTGAGCAGAAGGACCAATGTAAGAGAGAAGGGAAGCTATGTACCGCTCACAGTGTAGGAGGGCAAGCGTTCACTCGCTGAACAGAACTATAAAGGCGAGATCCAGCTGAGCTGAGGTCAAAGCCGGCAACGGTCGGCCTTCACACATCTGACAAAGTGGAGCGCTGTGGGATGAAAGGAGGGGAAACCAGCGGCCTCCCGAGTCGCACACGCAGGAAAATGTCACACGGATGTGTAAAGACAATCGCACAAACGTATGGATGTTTGTGGTTTTCACCCCAAAAACTATATATCTATATATATAATATATATATATATCTATCTATACATATATATCTCAAAAAGGAGCTAGCAGACTAAAGTTAAAAACAGATTTTGGGCTAGATTTCACTTTCCTACGGATCAAAAAGTTCAACTGTAGTTTAAACTAAACATGTACAGGGAGAATAAGATACTGCTTATGATATTTTATCTTGATATTTAGTCAGTAATTACTAGAATACAAGGAGAAGTAACATCTCGTCTCCCACTCGGAGGCCTGCAGTCACCGTTTCCGCAAATATATCTAAATATGTCCCAATTCCAAAAAATGGATAGGAAATTAGTGCACTAGTTGCAGTATTATTCTTGTTACTTTTCCTTACAGCAAAAAAATGATTTAGAGATATACTGAAAGTTGCAGAGCAGGTGCATTCTAGCAGTTTTGTCCCTTTTGTGTGTATTTGTTTCTATTTTTAGGAAACAAATTCCTCGTAAACATCGTAGAGTGCAAATGTCATGTGTTCATTAAATATTGCAACATTAGCTCTCGCACGCATACGTTTGAGTATAAGGACCTTTCACTTGACCATGCAGCAAGCCGTCCAGCTTAGCAGATCTGATTACAACTTCTTAGGTCTCCGTGTCCGTCCAGCTACATGCAGGCCGGAGCTGCAGCTGTGCTCTCAGAGCCATAATCCATCTGTAACACAATACGGTCCGACAGTCGGCCCACGGCCCCAAACCCGACCACGCGGCGCAGGATCTGAATATTGCGACGTTATGACATTGCACAACTGAGGGGTGACGCAGTTCACCAAAAGGGTTATTTTATTTGTGAGTCATAAAAAGCTAGAAAGGCTCCAAAATAGTTGCTGAATGAGAGGAAAAAAAACAATTTGGGATCAACACACGGATGCCATCATTTATTATACAATGTATTAAAATTGCAAATACAAATGTGATGCAGTCGTGGGTAAAGTCGGGGGGGATTGGCAGGAAGTTAAAATAAGTGCTTGACTAATGATATTGGTGAGGAAGTGAAATAAAACCAGTGACTTTATCTTATTAGAGGCCTAGAATGGTTCTTAACCATCATTTCAAGTAGATATTGAAATAATAAAGGGTACAAATGAAATATGAGACGTCAGATGACTATTGGTCACATGACCACAGCCGTTTACTTCCTGCCTGTTGAATTACAAAAGAATTGCTGCATCAAATGTTTTAGGCAAATCTTGTAGGTTATCATTAAGAAAGGAAACATTTACAGTGGACGTCATCTTTTAGGTGTATAGCATCACTATATTCATCACTCTTTTGACCGCGACAATGACAGTTGAGGTTCCCACTCTTTCTTCTGGCCTCGGACGCCACCGGCCACGATGTTCGATACGCCCGTTCAACTGCTCGTTGAAATACAAATATCCAGTCAGCCGACCGCGTGGCAGCAAATCAACGTACCTCAGGCAAAGTAGAACTGATCAAGAAAATCTGCCGAGGTTCCGAACCGAGCAAAAGAATACGGGAAGTAAAGGGGATTTCCTGCCTCAGGCCCGAGAGCTTCTCGGCGCCACTCGAGGCCGAGGCATCGACGCACAAAGAACGACGGGGAGGGAGCGCTTGTGCAACAGCACAACGCGACAAAGAACCTCTGTGCGAGACTAAGACACAACAACGCACGGGAACAAGAACGTCGGAGAAGATGCATATATATTTATACACATATATGTATGTATGTCTTCGCTGCAGGAAGTGAACGAGGAAGAACAGAAAAGCCAAGGGCCGTAGTAGTGGATAGAAGAGAGGAAAGGAAGAGGGGGGAGGGAGGGGGGGGGGAAGCGCTGAGGCCACGTTTTGCCTACCGAAGACTCTGTGTCACTCTGCTCAGCGTGTGCCGGGGAGTCAACAGGTCGGTCCCCCTGCAGGTCCTCCAGCACTGCGTCCTCGCTGGCCATGTTCGGGCCTCCTTCTGGCTTTGCTCCCGGGGCGTCCCGCCCGCCCGCCCGCCCCACCCAGCCCCACCCCGTTTCGTGTCACACACCCGGCACCGACAGCAGCGCCGATCAGGACAACGTCGGGCGCTTTTCCCTGCCTCCTTAAAACCCCAGGATGTCCTTCCCCCCGCCGGGAATCGAAAGGCCTTCTGAGAGACCCGGAGCGAGCGAATGAGGCGGCGGAGAGGAAGAGAGAACAGCACAGGCCGAGCCCCACCTCGCTGCTTCCTGTTCTGCTCGCTGCCAGATAGAGGCCGGGGCTTCATGCACTTTGTACACACACACACACACACACACACACGCGCACAGCGGTGGTTTTGTAAGTCAGAGAGCTGACAGACACTCTGCTTCCTGCTACTGGGTCGCCAAAGCTGTTATGATGGATTGATGTCATGTCACATGGACAATCGCAACATGTCTTTGTTTGTGCAGATGGAAGTAGAATACGGCCCATGTCTGCAGACATGTGTTTCTATTATTTACCTCAAGATTAATAAAAACAAAGAGGAAAGTGGACAAAGGGCAACACGTTCCCACCACGAGGCACCAGCAAGACGTTCTAACAGAAGAGATGTTGCTTCTAAATGGGCTGAGAAGAGGACAGGTCTTCATGGCAGGTTGTGTTATGGGACAGCCGAGCCAGCTCAGCAACGTGCAGCCAATAGCAAAGCCCTATGAAAACCAATGAAACCGATTAGTTTAAAAAGGCCAACGAGAAGCATCGGCTTTTGTTTATGGCTCACCATGACATGTGGACACAAACTGCAGACACGCGGTGGAAGAGACGGACATTCCGCCGGAACAAGCTGGAGGCGCACACCTTACGAGTCGGGAACGGGTACAGATTGCAAACCCCCCCTCCCCCCTCTCCTCTCCCCCACTGAAATGTTTCTGGCATCCCGTCGCTGTCTGGCTTGCGGCCTCTTCCTGTCAGAGGGGGAGACGCTGCCGGCTTCGTCCGACTCAGACCATCGGCAGTGAGAAGTCACAGACCCCTCCGACCCCTCAGCGCGTCTCTCTCTCGCGGTCATACCACACGCACAAAGTGGGCGAGGGACACACACACACACTCAGCTAGGAGGGAATAGGAAGTGAAATGTCAATACAAGCGCAGGCAGCTGTTCTAGCGCGGCGACAGTCTGATCAGAGACACAAACGCCGTGTGTCCGATATCTCGACGTGTTCCCCTTTCCTTACCGAGCAGCTGTGGCTCTCCGTGCTCCCTCCGTGATGTCGACAGGTGGCTGCAGAGATAGCCGCCCCCATGCATCCATTGCCGTCTCTCCCCCTTTTGCTTTACAAATGCAGCTGAGCGGTCATCGTCGACTCCGCCGTAACCAAACTGAAAACGGGACCCGTCAGGCTGCAGACGAGCTGCAGTGAAGCGCGAAGCGGCAAAGTGACTCGCTCATCATGTCTGTTTCACTCATGCAAAAAAAACAAAACGCTGCTGACCACAGGATCAGGAACTAAGACCGGTTAATATAGCTCTTAAAGTTACAGTCTCACCCTGTTCACCTTGATAGGACTGACCTGGAACAAACACACAGATGAATCACTAAGTGTCCTCTTTCATGTTTATTTGCCCTTTCGGATCCCATGAACGGCATCATCAGAGATCGGCTGGCTCTTTGCTGAAGCTGGAGGACGTCACACGGGCAGGACTATTAAAACCCAAGCCTCCACGTCCATCAAAAGGACAAGTCCTGACCGCGTAAGGCGGTTGTGTTCAATTCCTTCATCAAGCCCTTTTAAAACTTTAATGATCAATCGAGAGTCTGAACTAAAAAAAGGCTGCAGCAGGACGGACAATGAGAGCGCGGGCAGACAGGTGGACAGGTGGACAGGTGGACAGGTCGACAGGTGGACAGGTGGACTGGTGGACAGGTGGACAGGCTGGTTTTCTGCCCAAACGTTTCCCACGTCTTCCCTTCCCAGGCCTGCGTTTCAGTCTCTCTTCCCCTCGGCGTCGTATTGTTGGCTCTCTTGCAGCCGGCGGCTCACAGAGACCCGTCCCCCCGATGAAGTTCTAATAGCCCGTCGGCTCCACTTGTCCGCCTCTATAAATAGCGATGAATCCATTTTGTTGGGGTGCAAGTTGTCAGCACCTCAATCTCATCCATTCACTGACGGCTGCATTTCACAAGCAGCAGTCGTCACGATGGCGCTTAGGAGACTATGAACTTAATTATCACAGCGCAGTGTTGCCAAAGTTAGAAGTAATTAAACACGTTTACCTTCAGCTTGATATTGAATAAAGGGATGTTTTACAGGGAAGGAGAGGGATTTGGAATTATACTGGTGATTAAACTGTTGTTTATTATTAGAAATGCGGACTGAAACAGTTGTAGTTGAGGTCGTGATGTGAGCTTTAGTGTGTGTGTGTGTGTGTGTGTGTGTGTGTGTGGGCCTTTTTTGGCAATGTGAGGCAATGTTGTTGGGAGCTACAGGGGCAGAAAAGGCAGAAGGGTTTTGTTGGCCTGCTCACGATTCTGAACATTCACTTAAGAGGAGCGACTTAACTTAATAGTGCCATTCATCACTGTAAATGTTGTGTGTGTGTGTGCGCGTTAAGTAGTGCACTATGTAAAAGAGAGAGGGCAACGGACAGAAGCATAACTTGAATGCTCCTCACATCCTGATGTCTGTACACAGCCTCATT